GAGAGAGAGAGAGAGAGAGAGAGAGAGAGAGAGAGAGAGAGACTAAAACCAGAGCTAGAAATATTTCCTATTATTTCAAAATTATATGGGCGCAAACTTATTGAGACTTGATATTCCACCAAAGGAGTAGTTGACACCATATTGATTTAGGTCCAATATATCAATATATAAAAAACCCAGACCATTCAAAGTGCCAATCAACCAGAGACCCAGTCAGCTGCTCAGAATTCAGATATGGTTCCAAACAATTGATCACACTGGCACACAAGACACTTCTGAGCTCAAGAGAATAGGACAAGAAAATCCCATTGAGGATGTTACTTAGTTTGGTAACGAAACGTTGAGGAATTATATTAAAACAAGCTTGGAGAACAAACCACAGACAAAATCCAAAACCCCGAGCTACAAATATTTCCTACTATTTCAGAGAAAGAGAGAGAGAGAGAGAGAGAAAGTCAGATTTAAATCAGTAACAAAATTAGAATTGATTCCTTACCTTGTTTTCCGCATAGGCCAGCCACCGGCTTCCTAGAGCGATGGGGTTCATATTTGGCCCTGGACAAGGATAGCAACCTGAGAACAAAATATACAAAAAGTGGCATTATTGGAAATGGAGATAAAGAAGCACTCCTTCTCCACACAAAACTCTTGCCTGGAATGAAAAGAGTTGACAGGCCTCGTCGTCTTATTTAGCCCGAACGACTTTTCTTGTAGCCCAGCTTGAGAATTTGGATAAACAATTGAGGAGCAGAAAACAAGACCCCGCTCAAGGAACTAGTGAAAAGACCACGTCCAGCGGTGGGATTCAGCCGGGTCGCACCACTTCGGCAGAACCGGTAGCTAATTTTTTTGTTGCCCAGGCCCAGAATGGACTTCCGGAAGCGGCATACACACAGAGAACCAGTGGTTCACCTCTTTGAATCCCACCACTTCTTTCTTTCTTCCTTCCTTCCTTCCTTCCTTCCTTCCTTCCTTCCTTCCTTCCTTCCTTCCTTCCTCCCTTCCTTCCTTCCTCCCTTCCAACCAATCTAGGCAGGGCATGCTACAGACAGCAAACCCCATTGTCTTCTAGCACTGATGATATTACCTAGGCAGGTAATGAGAGGTCTGCAAGAAAACAGGCACGTTCAGGGAACACCAAGGACATCATATTTGGCCCTTTCCTGACTGGGAATAATGGGAAAAGACGTTGTCCCTGTTATTTATTTTAACTTGTGAAGCGATTCTACAGCTATATTAGAACTTGCCACTGATTGAGGACCACAATTTGAGTGCCTTTAGGCCCATTCTTCACTCAACAGAGAGACCCTTAAGCTGCACCAGGCCAGACCCCATTATAAAACCCAGACGTACTACACCAAGCAGGATTTCCATGGCAGAAACACCAGCAGTTTATTCCTGTTTAAACTTCATTTATGTGAAATGTGTCCACTGCCTTTCTCACTGGAACATCAAAAACTGTTCACAAAGATAAAAATTTCAAGATGCCTGCTGCTAACAAAAACACGTCATAGTTAAAAGGCAAAAGAGATTCCTAAACTAAGAGCTGGGGACCAAGTAAGGAACTTAGAAACTTCAAAGTGGTTACTGATACATTTGGACTGAACGCCCCCCCCCCCCGAAGGTTTTTATGGAGTGTTGGAAAGCTAAAAATAAGAGTCCCGAGGAAGTGAGTTTTGATGTCTGGGTGAGATAACTGGAAAGGCCATGTCTTGTACAACTACTTGTTTCAACTTGAGGGTTAAGAGGGCAGAAGTAGAATTAGCAAAGGAAGCTGAAGCAACACACTAATGTACAGTATATTTTGGAGTAGGATATGCCAACCCCACTCTAATCATTATACTTATCAAAATACCATCATTACTTTCTATACATGTGTTATGCTGGAGAGCAACCGTCCCACTTAGAAGGAGGGATCAAACAGGGAATTAGTCTGGACTCCTTACGTAGTCACAAAAGGGCAAGGGGAGAGAACAATAAAGTAGCTAGTTTGATTCTGCTTGTTTGTGCCTGAGATGGAGAAGGGGGGGAGGAGGAGGGATAGAGAAGGAGGAGAAGAGAGGGAAAAGGAGAAAGGAAGAGGAGGAGGAGGAGGAGGAGGAGGAGGAGGAGGAGGAGGAGGAGGAGGAGGAGGAGGAGAACGATGACTATGGGGTCCTTGGTGTTCTTTCCGCTTGGTGGTTTTCTTGCAGATATTTCATTACCATAACTATGAATCTTGGTAGCACAATGGTTAGAATGCAGTACTGCAGGGTACTTCTGCTTACTACCGGCAGCCAGCAGTTTGGCAGTTCGATTCTTACTGGCTCAAGGTTGACTCAGCCTTCTATCCTTCCGAGGTCGGTAAAATGAGGACCCAGATTGTTGGGGGCAATATACTGACTCTGTAAACAGCTTAGAGAGAGCTGTAAAGCACTGTGAAGCGGTATATAAGTCAGAGATGGCGAACCTTTTAGAGACCGAGTGCCCAAACTGCAACCCAAAACCCACTTATTTATTGCAAAGTGCCAGGGCCGCATCAGCATTGTGGTGTTCTCAGGGGGGAGGGCGTGGTCCACTGGGTGGGCATGGCCACTGGGTGGGCATGACTGCAGTGGTCACAGCTGCAGTGGTCATGGCAGACTGGGTGGGCATGGCGGGGTGGGTGAGCTAGGACCAGGGTGACAGGGACCAGTCCCTCACCATCTCCGGGGCATCCCCAGGGGGCCAACCCCGCTTGCTCGCTCACTTCCTGCCCCGTTGCTTCCAAATGCCACATGCTCGCTACTCTGGCAAACTCTGCTGGGGCAATGGCATGCGTGCCCACAGAGAGGGCTCTGAGTGCCGCCTCTGGCACATGTGCCATAGGTTCGCCACCACTGGTCTAAGTGCTATTGCTAGGTAACATCATCAGTGCTAGAAGAGAGTGGGGTTTGGAAGGAAGAGGAGGAGGAGGAGGAGGAGGAGGAGGAGGAGGAGGAGGAGGAGGAGGAACACCCTTCACGTACTGAAGTCTGCCTTGTCCATGAACTTCAATCCTCAAATCTATAAGCTTCAACACTTATGATTGCTCTTCCTAGTTTAAAACAAATAACTGCACATTGATCTCCTTGGTTCCCCCCCCCCCCACTGGACATACATTCTGATGCAGCATAAAACTTTCATACAAAGGACAAAGTACTCATTGGTTGCAAAAACTCTGAAGTTAGAACTCTCTACTTTGGACAAGCCTGTATATCAGTGATGGCGAACCTTTTAGAGACCAAGTGCCCAAACTGCAACCCAAAACCCACATATGTATCATCAGGTGCCGGGTGGGTGTGGCCCATTGGGTGGGTGTGACCCATTGGGTGGGCGTGGCCCATTGGGTGGGTGTGGCTGCAGTGGTAACGGCAGACTGGGTGGGACTAAAAAGTTCAATCAATCAATTCCAACTTTGCAAGATCTTTTTTTTTCCCCGCAAGAAGTTGAAACTGACTGATTGAACCTTTTTTTTTTTTGCACACGGTGGCAGAGGCCTAAAGCAAAAAGGTTTTATAAAACCCAGCTGAAGGCCTAGAACTGGGGCGACGGTGCGCGTGCCCACAGAGAGGGCTCTTAGTGCCACCTCTGGCACCCGTGCCATAGGTTCGCCACCACTGCTGTATATTATTATATTGAGTCTATGTGAGCTTAATATAACATAGTGGCCCATCTTCTTGACATACAGCCTAAGTTCAATACATGGCTAGGCTAACTTACATCCTTTATGTTTATGTGGCTCTTAAAAAGTTGGCCGTCCGTCATTCCTCTTGCCTTCTTCCACTTAGATTGGTTTTGCATTTTTCACGCAGTTCTTTTTTTGCTCTTTTAATGAAAATGCCTGTTTTCCTTAATGTTACCTCTCACATTTGGGCTTAGTGCTAATGCAATGTTTCACCTGATTTCCTAAAAACAAACTTTGTAATCTTGCAGTACAAAAAAGAAAAGATTTATAGACTCTATCACATACTCCCCCAGAAAGGAATGGTCTTCCTTTTTTGTCTTTTTTTTTAACAATGGATAATTGAGGTTACAACGATGCTTTTGGCAACTGCGTGATCTAACCACTTTTCGCAAATCGCTTTTTTTTTTTGCAAATCTATGGATCCAAGCCCCTGTTTTGCAAATCCATATCTAATTGTGGCCATGAAATGCTTTAGGGAGTTAATCGCAGATAGCAATAAATGCTGGAGCATTTTAGACCATTACAGTATTCCAATAAATGCCAAGAGAAAGTAATTAACACATTTTATAACCCCGCATCTGCAAAGAGGGATAGAGTTGATACTCAGCAGCTTCAGCAGCTTTTTAAAAAAGAGCTTTCAAATTTAGGTCCCTGGATTGTATCACCTAGCTCAGGGGTAGGCAACCTTGGCTCTTTTATGACTCGTGGACTTCAACTCCCAGAATTCCTGAGGTTTCCATGCTGAGCCATGCTGGCTCAGGAATTCTGGGAGTTGAAGTCCACGAGTCATAAAAGAGCCAAGGTTCCCTCCCCCTGGCCTAGATCAGTAGTAGGTAACCTTGGCTCTTTTATGACTTGTGGTTTTTAACTCCCAGAATTCCTGAGCCAGCCATGCTGAGGGGAAAGGGAGAGGTTTCCATGCTGAGCCATGCTGGCTCAGGAATTCTGGGAGTTGAAGTCCACTAGTCATGAAGGGGCCATAGTTCCCCCATGCTGGCTCAGGAATTCTGGGAGTTGAAGTCCACTAGTCACGAAGGGGCCATAGTTCCCTCATGCTGGTTCCAGAATAACAAAAGAACCACAATAAAGTTTCCATTTAGAGCAGGGGTAGGCAACCTTGGCTCTTTTATGACTCGTGGACTTCAACTCCCAGAATTCCTGAGCCAGCATGAGGGAAACTTTGGCCCCTTCATGACTCGTGGACTTCAACTCCCAGAATTCCTGAGCCAGCCATGCTGAGAGGAAAGGGAGAGGTTTCCATGCTGAGCCATGCTGGCTCAGGAATTCTGGGAGTTGAAGTCCACGAGTCATAAAAGAGCCAAGGTTGCCTATCCCTGACCTCGCTATTCCAGCCTGCAATCATGGATGACAAGAAGTGAAAGTTTAGCTTCTACCATCTAATCCAGTGATTCCAAAATTCACAGGAAATGCGTCTCTGATTAATCATTTGTCTTGAAAACTAGGAGAAACGAGGAGGCAAAAGAAGTACAAGTTGCTAGATGCCATATATAGGTAGTTCTCAACGTACAACCACATTTTTGCCGCCAAGTGAAACGTTTGCTAAGTGAATTTTCCCCAATTTTATGACCTTTGGTGCCACAGTTGTTAAGTGAATCCCTGCAGTTGATAAGTTAGTGACCTGATAAGTTAGATCCCTGCAATTGATAAGTTAGTGAATTTGACTCCCCCATTGACTTTGCTTGTCATAAGGTTGTAAAAGGGGATCGCATGACCTTGGGACATTGTAACCGTCATAAATGTGAGTCGGTTGCCAAGCAGCTGGATTCTGATACTGCAATGGCCATAAGCCACTTTTTTCAGTGCCATTGTAAGTTTGAATGGTCACTAAACAAATGGTTGTAAATCGAGAACTACCTGTGCAGGTAAT